TTATAAGTACCAGCTATATACTCTATAAGTACCATCTTTATGTTCCTGCAAGTACCAGCTCCATACCCTGTAAGTACAAGGCACATACCCATAAATGATCAGGTATGGAGCTGGTGAGTACCAGTTAGTGGCGTCTCAGAGGATGACACCAGTAGTAACCGTCTCGGGGGATTCGTGCCCAGCTGACGGATGATGTCGTGCGACTGAGCTCTGGCCACCCACTCAGATTAAAAACAGGAATGCTGTCATGCAGATGAAGACACCGAGACACAAAGTTCCCTCAGAGGTTTGGAATTAAAACACACGTACTGTATGAAGGAAGTAATTTTACTCATTTCCCCTCCGCTCTTCACATGAGGGGAAACTCCAGCTTTTCGAGTGCTTTACCTTCCTTTTTTCAAAGCTGGAGCTACTTTAAAAACATTTGCTGCAGCCTGTTATTTTGTCACTTCCTTGTCATGCGAGCAGCAGGTGTTTGCTGAAGCAAGCTTCTCACACCAGTTTACAATTTTTCTTTGGTGTTTGTTTTGGATTCGTTGCATTAATTAGCCAGTCGTGCCCCGGCTGCAGCGCCTGCACTGAGCTCAGAACACCCAGGTAAGGTGAGAGCGGCCTGCTGTCTGATTGGCTGCAGAGGTTCTGCACGGCGTTGCGTGTGAACCTCTGGCCTCCTGCCAGATGGGAGGTTGACTTAAAGCACGGGTTGCATAAGTCGTGAGGAATGTTTTTATTTTTGAAAGACGGCGTGTCACGAAACATGTGTTTAAACTAGCAATCTGCACGGCGAGGAGTCACGTAGGACATTTATTTAGAAAAGTGAGGCTACTGTTTACAGATCATCAAGATCTTCATCGTGTTTCTAAAAATAGTTCAGGTAAAGTCAAGTTTCAGCTCCGCTGAGAGAAAGTTTGATGCATTTACATGAGAAAATCCTGCAGGTTCAGGGAGTTAGAGAATTATGTTAATATTACAATAATAATAATAATATAGTAACTGTAATAATAAAAACTAGAGAAATTTCCTGTGAAATTGCAGTGTGGATGCTTGTTGCAGAAGAACTTCTTTCATTCATTCAACCTTTATTTCTACAGGTTAATCCCACTGAGCCCCGGGAACTTATTTACAAGACAGACCTGAATTTTTAACAAAAAGTGATGACAACAATAGACAATCCTAAAATATGCGTACAAATTTAATTATTTTTCTCAACAAGTTAAAATAAAATGGCAACCAAAAGGACAGTCAAAAGGAAAAAGCAGCCAAAAACAGCTAGATGATAAGGCGGTGTAGAAAACTAAAAACAGGAACATGGCTCCGTTGGTTTTTGACATGAACTTAACAGATGTTTGAAGCCACTTAGAGAGGTCAAAGGTCGAGAGCTTCAGATGATTTTACAAGATATTCCAGGAAACAGGAGCGGAGTAGGAGAAGGTCCTTTTGCCTAGTTCAGTCCTCACTGAGGGAACACTGCAGGTAATGATGTCCTGAGAGCGCACGCTGTAGCTGCACTCACGCAGAGACATGTAGGAGGAGATGTATGAAGGCAGCAGACCAGGAAGTGATTTAAAGATGAAGATGTACCAGTGGGAGAACTTGCTGAAAAACAGCTGAAATACGTCAAAAACATGCTGAACTGTAGCTGACATGGAAGAACAAGCTTAAATTAGCAGAAGAAAGCAGAAAGAACACATTTTTGCAAAATTAGGTTTAAATAAACAGAAATTAGCACAAAATTTAGGAAATTAACTATAAAAAAAGTCTGAAATTAGCAAGATAGCTGAAAAGTAGTTGAAAAGGCAGAAAGAAGCTTAAACTACCAGAAGGAGGTGGAAGGAGCTGAAATGAGCTAAAAAAATGTGTAATTAACTGAAAAAGCTCAATTTAGCACAAAACAGCTAAAAAGTAGCGGAAACAGCAGAAAAAACCTGAAAGGAGCACAAGCTGAAATTACCATAAAGAAGTTAATTAGGCCTAAAGTAGCAAAAATTACCTGGAAAAACTTGAAGAAAACAGCTGAAATTAGCTAAAAAAAAATAAAAAGCTAGCTGAAAAGGTAGAGCAAGCTTGAATTAGCAAAAGAAAACAGAAAGAACACGTTTCCTGAAAGAAGCAGAAACGAGCACAAAAAGTGGGCATTATCTGAAAAAAGCTTAATTTAGCAATAAAACAGCTGAAAAGTAGCTAAAAACAACCGAAAGAAGCTTAAATTACCAAAAGGAAGTGGAGAGAGCACATATTTTTTGCTTAATTGTGCTAGAAAAGGTTGAAATGATTGGGAAAAAAGTGAATTTAGCTGAAAAAGCTAAAATTGGCATAAAACAGCTAAATATCAGCTGAACTAACTGAATCTTGCAGAAATAAGCTGAAAGGAGCACAACAAGCTGAAATTAGTAGAAATAAGTTAGAAGAAGCACAAAAATGTTGTAGTTAGCAGAAAGAAAAGGATCACAAAACAGCTGTAAAAACAGCTGAAAGTAGCTGAAAATAAGTTTAAATTTGCTGAAGGAAGCTGAAGCAGAACCAAATGTGAAAGGAGCAGTAAAAGGTTAAAAACAGGTCAAAATATGTGAAGGATGTAAAATGAGCTCAGTTCATTTTCCAGGAAAGGAAAATGTCAGAAAAGGCCAAATATTTGAAAAAGCTAAAGTTGCACCAAAAGTCATAGCAGGATTGTCCTGAAAGAGCCGAACAATTTGATTTATGATTTGTTGAAATAGTTTGAAAACTGTGGGACGAGAATCGTGTATAAACTTCTACACAAGCGTCATCATCAGAAGTAAAGGCCTGGCCTTCCTGAGCACCCGGCAGCGGTCACGCCGGAGTTTGACACTAAAATCAGTTCATGTTTAGAAAAGACGCAGTGGACATTTTAGTCAAACTTAAATGAACAATCTACAAGCTGTCAAACTCCAAGTGTTCAGGATGATCTCTGCTAGTACTGTGTCAAATCTTAGCACAATAATTAAAAAGTAAACTGAGTCAAAAGATTTGTTTTTTTTTGGGGGGGGGGGGGGGGGGGGGGTATTTTGAATAGTTTTGGCTCCAATAGTTAATTTAGTTGTAGATATTTTTATTAAAATCTGTCCAGTATATCATGAAATATTTTGCTAACAGACAAACCAAGTAAACTCCAAATATGTCAAAATGTAAACGATGATCTTGTGCAATCTGTTAGCCTTCTGAATATGTATTAGGAATGACTCTCAGCTACTACCACACCACGTGTTAGCTCAAGATCTGCCAAACTGACCGAGCTGTAAACATTTTTGTGTTCTAAGCTGAGTCAGCTGTGGTGGCCACCTTAAATCACTTTGACCACAAATGTTAATCAGCTGTACATGTTCATCAAGATTACTTTTTTAAGTTAAGTTTAATAAAATTAAAATCTCAAGCACTTCAGGAGATATTTTGCTAACAGACTGACACACATTCACAACATTAGTGGTGCAGAGTAATTCTTTTAGACATTTTTATTGATTTATTTGTTATTAATAAACAACCTATAATGAAAAAGCATGGTTGTAAATATATTTATATCATAAATTGACAGTATGGCTTCATAAAAAGTCCATTTTAAACAATAATTTAATTTTGTTTCAGCGCAGTCCGTCAGAAATAAAACGCAGCGGGTTCGTGGCGCCATCTTCAGGATTAAGGTCTTAAATGCTAAATTTCTCCTCAGAACTACAACTCCCATCATGCCCCTCGCCTGGCAGCACTTCCGCAGTTAGGATTCTCTGCTCCGTGGAAGGTCCACGCGCTCCAGGATGGACGGCGGAGCAGTGAAAGCTGTCCTGTTTGATTTGGACAACACTCTGATAGAAACGAGTAAAGCTGGAGGAGCTGCGCTTCAGCAGGTGATCAAAGCTGAACGTTTCCGCTCTAATAAACTCTTAAACGTTACCTCAGCTGTTTATTCTGTCAGGTGTTCGGATCAGAACGCGTATTCTAACGAGCTAACTGCAGGTGTATCATATGAGTGACGTAATGTCAATGTTAAGCGACAGCGTTTAGATAAATGAAAAAAACCCTTTGCCGCTGATGATCCTCTTTGCTCTGATTGGTCAAAATGTCGTGACGCAACCCGGAAGTGAGTTGCTTTATCCGGGACGCCGCGTTGCCAGATAAGCGGTAATTATCATATTTATTATTATGCGATAATTAATGGTTTATACACTGTAAACATTTTTAAGTCCAAACTTAGTTGTTTTGATGTTTTCGTGCACTGTAATAAAACTTTTTTTTGGAGGGAAAATATAACGTTTGAACAGCAGTTTTGGCTTATATTTATGTAAAATAGTTGGGCTTGCGGGAATAAAATCTTTTAAATTGTTTTTTTACAGAACATCTAGGGAATAAATAACTTGTAGGAGAGAAGCTCTTGTACTTTAATAAGTTTGTTTTATTTGAACTTGAATAAAATATAACACAAGTTTGTTTTGTCTAGAAAATATTATTTTATTTAATTTCACACATGTAGCTGAACTCGCATTTACTTCTTGAAGTCGACTTCATTGGAACAGTTTTTGATTAGATTTTCTTCATTGGATTTGTAAAAAGCAGAAATGCATTTTGTCTCAATAAAGAATGACATTACCTGAATACTAAAATAAAAAAAATATCTTAATCCAAAACACGGACAAAGAAAAAATAGTTACATTAAATAGTAATATCAGTTTTCTGCTGCGAATGAGGGACAAATACTTGTTAAAACAAGTATCTTTGGTCTTATTTCTGTTTTTATTTGATAAAGTCTGTGTGTGAACTTCGCAGGCCGGTGAGCTGCTGAAGACCCAACTGGGCCTGGACGACGACTCCGTCCACAACATCTGTGAGAGGTTCAAGCAGAAGCTTCTCGTGGAGCAGCACGAGCGCTCCTCCGGTCGGTCTATAGACGACCTCCGTGCGCGTCACTGGGAGGAGAGCATTGTGGAGACGCTGGGGAGCTGCTCTCCGTCTCTGGCCGCTCAGTGCTACGTGATGTGGAAAAACAGCCGTCTGGAGGTTCTGTGTCTGTCCCCTGAAGTCCGCCAGCTCCTGAAGCAGCTCCGGTGCCGATACAAGCTGCTGCTGCTGACCAACGGAGAGGCGAAGACTCAGAGGGAGAAGGTGGAGGCGGTCCAGTGCGAGGACTTCTTCGACGCCGTCGTGGTCGGGGGAGAACATCTGGAGCAGAAGCCGTCCTCGTCCATCTTCAGGAAGTGTTTCGACATGCTGCACGTAGAACCGCAGGACTGCGTGATGGTAGGAGACTCCCTGGACACGGACATTCAGGGGGGGGTCAACGCCGGAGTCCGGGCCACAGTCTGGATCAGCAGTGCCAAGAGTTCTGAGTTAGATGGTCCGGTGAAACCAGACTACACCATCCCCACTGTGCTCGAACTACCGGACATCCTGGCGCAGCTGCTGTAAGGACGCGTGCTTTAAACAGAACTTGGAGGTTATCGTCTCGGTCTGAACATTTTTAATCTTTTTTAACTTTGAAACTGCCGTAACAAACTACGTGCACTTAAACATGAGCACAATGAGGTCCAGGTTTAGATTCTTTTGATTCATAATTTATTAAAATATCCAGGTGCTCCAGTTTCCTCCCACAGACCAAAAACATGCACGTTAGACTGACTGGTATGAATTGTCCCTAGGTGAGAGAGAGAATGGTTTGTCTCTATATGTGTCCCTGTGATGGACTGGAGACATGTCCAGGTGTCCCTGTGATGGACTGGAGAC